TGAAACTTCGTTATACGGGAAACCTACTTAACGAGGTGATAAGAGCAGCCCCGGTAAGTAGGCCCCGGCGTCGAAGGCTCCATCTATTGGTGGGGAGCTACACCTGCTGGAAATCGGGTCCAACGTCCCAGTACAATTATGAGAGTGTGTCTGCTGGAAATCGGGTCCAGCGTCCCTGTACATTGATGTAAATGTATCTGAATGTATCAGCTGGAAGCCGGGTCCAGCACCTTTTACAGGTCCACGAACACCCTAACATGTATGTGTAATATATATGTGATGTGTGTGATTTTTGTGTTCTTGTAAGTATCAAATCTACACACGAAACCGTAACTATGATGTGATATGAAGTGTATGATCTTTATCAATCAAACTTTATGAGTGAATCGGATATGATATGTGTGTGAGCGGGGGCATTGATTGCTTCCCTGCGCTAGGGAAGGATTGACCACCCGCAATCTAGATCCTCACCGGTCCCCCTTAACACTCCATTGTTGATTGGTATTGCGGGCCGGGCAACACCAATCAACATCAATTAGCAACACCAATCAAATGTGATTATCCCACTCCTACCCTCAACCAGACGATGAGGTTAAAGGGGGGGAGGGAGGGGGAGATGGCAAACCACTTATCAATCCCAACCCTCTCCACGTAAGTGTGCGGCATCTCTCTCGTCGTGCTGAGGCATTCAGCTCCACTGCCGCCTTGGTCATCGCTGCCTCCATCGTCATCATTATCGCCATCGTCGCTGTTGTTGTTGATGTCATCCCCAATCCCGCTCTCAACCCTGCTGCTGCCGCTATCGTGAGTGTTATTGTTGTTGTTGTTGCTACTGCCATGATTGTCGCTGCCACCATCGTCGTCAGCGTTGCTGCCGTTGTTGTTGTTGTTGTTGTTGTTGTTGTTGTTGTTGTTGTTGTCGTCGTCGTTGCTGTTATTGTGGTCGTTGTTGTTGTTGTTTTTGTTGTTATTGTTGTTGCTGCTGTTTCTGTCGCCTGCGTCGCTGCCGTTGTTATTGTTGTTGTTGTTGTCACCGTCGTTGCTGTTGTTGTTGTTGTTGTCGTTGTTGTTGTTGTTGTTGTTGTTGTTGTTGTTGTTGTTGTTGTTGTTGTTGTTGTTGTTGTTGTTGTTGTTGTTGTTGCCGGTGTTGCTATCGCCTGTGTCGTCGACGCAATTATCTTCGCTGGCATCCACTCCTTCCTCCCCCCAGTCATCCATGTCGCCCTCGTTACCCATCTCGCTCTCCAACTGATAGCGAAGATTGCGGCCCTTTATAAAGAGAGGGCTTTGCACACACCCATCCCATCATCCCCCCGCCTCCAGTCGATGTAGGGTTCGAGCCGAGGATCCGGCCCCTCCTCCAGCTCCCACATGACGTCCAGCATCTCCTGGATCCTATCATCTAACCACTGCTCCATAGAGATCGCCCCCCCGTCGATCTCCACCCCCCCCTGCCTCCGCAGCATCAGCATCCCCACTATCATCCGCAGCTCCTTGCTCCCCTCTCCCAGTGTGTCAAGCCATTCCTCCGCACGATGTTGTAGCTCCTCCACCGAATCCATCTCAGGCCAAATTAGCTGCACCACTCACACAATTCACTTGACAGTCCCACGGCCGGCGCTACCCCTGTCCACGTGTCGCGAGACGTCCACGTCACCAATCAACAGGTACCACGTGGCAAACAACCACTTGCACCTGTCGGGCACATAGGCAGGCCCAGCATCCGGGGAACTGTTCTCCTCCGGTGTTGGTCGAGCCGGGGCGACCGGGCCCTGCCGGTCGGCCGGCTTCAGGGCGCTAGCGCTAGCGCAGCTGTGCCTTTGTCAGCGAAACTCAGTGGGGTGCTCTCCTTCCTTTCTTTTGATTGATTGATTGATTGATTGATTGATTGATTGATTGATCGATTGATTGATTGATTGATTGATTGATTGATTGATCGATTGATTGATTGGTGGGGGAGGGGTCGCCCCCCCCCCCGGCACACACACACACACACACACACGATTAGGTTGACTGATTGATTGACTGATTGAGCTGTTCTCCTCCGGTGCTGGTCGAGCCGGGGCGACCGAGCCCTTCCGGTCGGCCGGCTTCAGGGCGCTAGCGCTAGCGCAACTGTGCCTTTGTCAGCGAAACTAAGTGGGGTGCTCTCCTTCCTTTCTTTTGATTGATTGATTGATTGATTGATTGATTGATTGATTGATTGATTGATTGATTGATTGATTGATCGATTGATTGATTGGTGGGGGAGGGGTCGCCCCCCCCCTAGCACACACACACACACACACACACGATTAGGTTGATTGATTGACTGATTGATTGATTGATTGATTGATTGATTGATTGATTG